CTTGTCTGTCTCAGATGCAACGCAGCTCGACTTCTGGGTGCTTTCGCGCTTCGAAGCGCTGCTTGCTCGCGCCTCTTCGAACGCCACTCTCTCCGCCACCCTCTCCTCCAGCGGGCTCGTGTTTTTCCTGCATCTCCTCGGGCCCGACACGACGGGGCACGCCTTTCGGCCCTTTTCGCGCGAGTACGTCGCCAACGCGCGCGTCGTCGACGACGTCATTGCGGCCGTCGAGCGTGCCGTGTCGGCGTACTGGCACGACGACGGCCAGACTGCCTTTCTCTTCACGGCCGACCACGGCATGTCCGCACGCGGCAACCACGGCGACGGCGAGGCGGCAAACACGCGCACGCCCCTCGTGGCGTGGGGCGCGGGCGTGCGCGCGCCGCGGGCGCTGGCAGAGGAGGCAGCCGGCGTACAGCAGAGGTTTGCCAGATGGGAGGAGCGCAGTGGAGATGACTACTTTGAGGGATGGGGAGAGTTGGATGACGTCTGGAGAGAAGATGTCGAACAGGCAGATGTGACTCCTCTCATGGTGCGTTTTTTTCTCTCCTGTCCTCCCTCTTTCTTCCCCCTTCGCACCTTCCCTTGCGCACTGTCGCTGACGAGGACGCCGCGCCCGCGTTGGGTGTGTCAATAAAAAAACAACAGACGACGCTTCTAGGTCTGCCCATGCCCGCCAACTCAGAGGGCAAGCTGCCGCTCGACTATCTCGCCGTGTCGCAAGAGGCCAAGGCTCGCGCCAGTCTGGCAAACGCAAGAGGCGTGCTGGAGATGTATCGCGTCAAGCACGGTGCGTGGGCTGTCTGGCCTGTCGTGTCCTGATTACCTTCCCCCCCCCCCCCCCGGCCGGCGGGAGCAAGAGCTCAAAAGTGCGAAGCTGTGCTGACCCCACGTCGCACGACCTGAACGCCTGTCCATCATCTCCCTCGGCTCGACGCTCGCCTCGTGTGCGCGCAACATCACAAGCAGATCAACGAGCCGCTCGAATGCGTCGATTTCTTCCCTTTGCTCCCCTTTCCTCCTCCTCCTCTCTGCTGCCCGGTGCCGATCAAGTGGTGCAGATCCAGGCGCTCATCGCCGCGCAAGACTACCCTCTGGCCATGCACGCTTCTCGCGCGCTGCTCGAGCTCGCTCTGCAGGGCAGCGCGTATGTGCAGACGTACGACTGGCTCCTGCTCGTGTGCCTCATCAGCGCGGCCTATCTGGGCAGTGTGGCCTATACCATTGTGCACCTGCTCGAGCACTATGTCCTCTCCCCAACCTCGCCTAGCGCCTCGTCTTCGCTCGGCACCCTCCTCGGCTTGACGACCTTTGCGCTGCTCAGCTGCAAGTTCGCCCTCGATTGCGATCCGCCAATCTACTATCTCTACGCCCTGTTTCCCTCTTACTTCTGGGCCGTCGTCATCGATTCGCGGCATCTCTTCCATCGAGCCTTTGCCCTTGGGCGTTCTCGCTACTCCAGCGACAGCAACGCGAGTCTCTATCTTTCGCTCTCTCTCGCCGCCCGTGCAGCGCTGGCACTGGCGGCACTGCAGCTCATGGTGCTGGGCTACCTTGAACGCATCGCTTGGACGATGGGCCTGCTGGCCATAGGCTTCCTCTGGCCCGCACTCTTCATGTCGAGCGACATGAGGACGGAAATGGAGGGCACATTGCTGGCGTGGGGCCTGACTTGTCTCGCATGCGCAGGCTTTGCAGTGCAAGGCACAGAGAAGGAGGAGAGTGTGCCACTGCTGTAAGTGGGCCTCGCTTTTTCCCCCTCTCTCCTCAACACTATTGACGCCCCCCTCTCCCCCCTGCGCGGCGTCCCGCAGCATGCTCTCGGCGCTGCTCTTCCTGCTAATCGGCGGCGTGCTGCTCTGCAAGCCCTCGCTGCTCGCCTCCCACTCTGCCGCCTCTGCGCATTTCCAGCACTCGACGCTCTTTGTGCTCAAGCTGCAGCTCTGCACGCTGCTCCTCTCCGCCGCCGTCACGCGTTCCTCGGCGCTCTCTCTCGCTGCAAAGAGAGGCCTGCCGCTGCTGAATCAAGTTCTCGCCTGGCTCATCCTCCGTGCGTTTGCCTCTCCACGGCGTATTTCACACAGAAGCTCATGCCTTTTCGCCCTGTTGCATTCCCCCCGGCGCCAGTCCTGACGCCCCTCTACACCTACCTTGTCGGCTTTCGCGCCTCGCACCTCGGCCATGCGCAGCCGGCGGCGCATCGGCTGCTGCTCCTCGTCTTTGCCGCCGCGCCGCTCTTCCTGCTGCTCTCGCTGCGCGACGAGGCGCTCTTCCTGCTCGCGTACACGGCCGCCCTGCTGCTCTGGGCACGCCTCGAGGGCGCCCTGGCCGCCGAACGCGCACAACAGGCCAGAGAGCAGACGCCGCACGAGACGCACGAGAAGCTCAGCCTCGAACATCTGCGCGTGGCAATGACGTTGCTCTTCTTGCTGCACGTGGGATTCTTCGGCACCGGTGCGTGCCTCGTCTGCCCGTTTCCCCCCCTTTCCCTCTCCCTGCTCGCTCACAGCCAACCCCACCTCCCTTTCGCTCGCGGGCACGCAGGCAACGTGGCGTCCATCTCCTCCTTCTACCTCTCGCCCGTCTATCGCCTGGTGCCCATCTTCTCTCCCTTCCTCATGGCCGCTCTTCTGCTGCTCAAGATTCTCCTCCCCTTCCTCCTCCTCGCGCTCGTGCTGCACCTACTTTCGCTCTCTCCCATCTCCGCTCCTCCGTCTCTTCGCACACAAGGAGCTTTGCGTTCCTCCTCCTCCTCAAGCACCTCCTGCACGTCCGATGCAGGCATCATGGGCGGCCTCGCTCTCCCCGACGGCACCTCTCTGGTCCTTCTCGCCGGCTGCGGCGCCGACATTCTCGCCCTCTCCTTTCTCTACGCCGTGCGCATCGAGGGCTCCTGGCTCGAAATCGGGCGCAGCATCACGCACTTCGTCATGGCCAACATGCTGCAGGTCTTCATGCTGCTGCTCGCCGCCCTCGCGCACGCCGTCCTTGGGCGCGGCGACAACCGCAGATAAGCTCGGCGAAGCGAGACGGCCACTACGACGACGATGACGAACGCGACGACGTCTCAGGCATCGTGATGCGACCGTGCGATCCAGTGGTAGGCAATCCTATAGTAATGCCCCCCCACCCCCCATGCCCCCCCACCCCCCGATGCCGCTCCTCTAAGGTACTAGAGACGTGCCTTGCTACTGCTGCCACTGCTCGAAGAAGGAGCGCGTAGCTCCTCGAGGCGCTGCGCCGCCTGCGCATCGCCATCGCCAGCGTCGGCAGCGAGCTGCAGCCATGCCGCCACGTATTCGCTCCACTCCACGCTTGTGCGGGGGGTGCGGGGGGGAGCGCGGGGGCGCAAGAAGCAGAGACGCGCGCAGCGATGAGAAGGGGGGTGAGGCGCAAGAGCGAGAGTTGGGGAGAAGGGAGGGAGAGAGAGAGAGAGAGGGGGGGGAGGCAAAGGATAGATCAGCTGCTAGCGGGCGACTCAGGAACAGGCTCGACTTGCGTCTCCCATTGGAACGCAAAACATGCGCGCAACGGGGGGATGGAGCGAGAGAGAGAGAGAGGGAGCAAGAGGAGGGGAGGAGGGGAAGTG